GCTCTTTTGCTGAATAGCCAAAGGCAGGAGTTCTTAGTGCCCAGACAGCCCATTCGGTCTGGGATGTTCCTGAGAACCCAGCAAAAGCCTCTCCTGCCGACCTGCAGGGGTGGGGCTCGAGTTGCCCTGAAGATCATTAAGAACGTGGAGAAGTACAAGGAGGCAGCTCGGCTAGAAATCAACGTGCTGGAGAAAATCAACGAGAAGGACCCTGACAACAAGAAGTAAGCGAGCAGAGGAGCTGAGGGGAGTCTGAGAGCCCCCACCCCACACGGGAGAGACTCGTGGGCCGGAGTTAGGCGGGCAGCGAAGCCCCAGCCCTTCTCATTCACCCGTCGTCTGTTCATCCTAGAGGAGGGGTACAACAGGGCCACAAGGGCCTGTGGTGTTCTCTCATCCGCCCCCCTTGTTTCCAGGGACGTTAGAGTTCACTGGTCTCTGTTTGGCCCCAGCCCAGGGTGGCCTCTGTAGAGATGTGCCCTGGAATGGCCTGGGGACTAGGTATCAATATTTTGATCCAAAAAACGGATTACTAGGACTATGCTGATGGGGCCACAGACGTTTATATAGTAGTAGTTCTGTTCACACACGTTCGTAGGCCAAAAATTGAATAAGAATGTTAAATGAAGACTTAGAGGACGGTGGGTATAAACATGGGCCGGGTGGTAGCCGATGGTGGGTGAACTTCAGGATTGGGGGCCGGAGTTGGGGTCAAGATTGACAGTTTGACAATTCAGGGTCCACACTGTTTGGAGCCTGGCACTCAACAGCTCTTCAGTGAAGAGTTTCTGAACCGTTTAAAGTGTTCCTGTTACCTCTCTTCCTGCGTCTGCCAGGAAGGCCATTCTCTAGCTGTACTGAATTTTGCTGGTAATACCAGCTGGCATGTTTTTACACCAGCATGTGGAATCACCAGTTATGTGGTCCTCCTTACTGAAGGGGTGGTGGGCTCATCGGACATCCCCCCCATCTCTCTTCTCAGCCTCTGTGTCCAGATGTTTGACTGGTTTGACTACCATGGCCACATGTGTATCTCCTTTGAGCTCCTGGGCCTTAGCACCTTCGATTTCCTCAAAGACAACAACTACCTACCCTACCCCATCCACCAAGTGCGCCACATGGCCTTCCAGCTGTGCCAGGCCGTCAAGTGTGAGTGGGGCGGGCCGAGGCGGGCTCTGGGGCAGCCCCTCCCTCCATTGGACCTCTTCTGTCTCGGTTGTGCACTGGTGGGGCCCCTTAACAGTCAACTCGCAATCATCTGCGGCTCTTCATTCACGGTCCTGCCACCACCTCTTCTGACTTAACTCCTTGACTGAGGCCTCCCCCGTTGCTGATTGCTCACTCCACACTCAACCTAGCAGGAGCTGGAAGAGAAGGCCTTTGAAACTGAAGCACTTAATTGCCTCATTTTTCCCTTCTTCCCCTTCCTTGGGAAAGTGTAAGTCAGACAGCAAACAGAGACAAAAACCCTCCGCTCAGGCTGGAGGTTGACATTTGTCTGAGACGAGATGCAGAGCAGGTGGGAACCGGGAGGCGTTGAGCCAGAGGGCCCGATAGAGAATGTAGACCAGTACGTTGTTCTCTTCCGTCTTCACAGCAGTTCAGGTTCACAGACTTGAGTTCACAGAACGTTACATACACACGTGTGCCAAATTTAATACAAAAATACAACCCATAGCAAACTCTGCTTTTTTCTGTGGGTTGAGAATTGCATCTTTAAGTAAGAACAGTGCTTCTTAGACTAGGCATTTCATTTGGATGTAGAGCGGAAAGCAGCCCAGTCATCCGGGACCTGCCTCCACCAGCGTTGATCTAGGTGACCCAGCGGGGGGCCAGCTGGTGCTAGTTAGTAACCCTGCGGCCTGGACTGAGCCTGACCCGGCATTCTCCCCTGCAGTCCTCCACGATAACAAGCTGACACATACGGACCTCAAACCTGAAAATATCCTGTTTGTGAATTCAGACTACGAGCTCACCTACAACTTAGAGAAGGTAAGGCGGACAGGTGTGCCCTGTGGCCAGTGGGGGCAGGCAGCTGTGCCTCTTTGCCTTTCCTTGGCCCTTTCTGTTCCCTTTTCACTTCTTGCTCCCACGTTTCCTCTCCGTCTGGTGCCGGCTGAGTAAAGCCAGAGTACCAGAATGGTCTGAAAGGAGAAATTTCAAGAGGGCTTAAATTAAGTTGGAAGGGAACTCGGAGAAAGGACCTCAGATAATTTCCCAATAGAGTGAAAAGGCTTTTAAGGTTCTTGGTTTAGACTTCCGTCTCACTTTGACACGTTTCTGTGAGGCGGGGAAGCTTAGCTGCCAGGATGAACTGAAGATGACGGGAGGTAGGAGCTACGGAAGCCCTCTCTCCCTTGACCCCTTCGCTACCTGTTCGTATTTACAGAGCAGGTGTACGTTGGCCACTTGGGTGTAGTCTTCAGGTGCATAGAGACCTGCCCACTACTCCCTAATCATTTCTTCCTCTTCTTCCTCCTCTGTGCTAAAGTTCTCTGGGGAGGCTGTCAGGTAGGTGATTCTCCAGGACATGTGGGAGCAGGCAGGAGGCCAGTTTCATTGTTAAGGTTCAGAACCACTTTAGAGAATAGTGGTGAGCCTCGGTCTGCGGGGAGGAGACTCCAGCCTCTTCCTGCTTTCCTTCTAGAAGCGAGATGAGCGCAGCGTAAAGAGCACAGCTGTGCGGGTGGTGGACTTTGGCAGTGCCACCTTTGACCACGAGCACCACAGCACCATTGTCTCCACTCGCCATTACCGAGCACCAGAGGTCATCCTTGGTAAGGGAGGGCGGGGCTGTCCAGGCGTGAGGAGATGTGGTGGGTAGGGCAGGCGCCACTGAAGACCCACAACACCTTTTTCCTCCCCGCATTCCCCCCAGAGTTGGGCTGGTCGCAGCCTTGTGATGTGTGGAGCATAGGCTGCATCATCTTCGAGTACTATGTTGGCTTCACTCTCTTCCAGGTAAGTGGTGGGTATCTTCCATGACCACCTGGCTTTCTTCTGACTGATTTCCTGTTGTCCACTGAGGTCCTGGCTGCGCTCTCTTCCGTTCCACCCGTCCACGTTGCCTGTCTTCCTGGAAGCTAGTCCTCACATCCCCTTTCCTCATCACCAGTCCCATGTTCACTTTTGTCTTTGTTTCCCAGACCCATGACAACAGGGAGCATCTAGCCATGATGGAAAGGATCTTGGGTCCTATCCCTTCCCGGATGATCCGAAAGACAAGGTGAACCTTGAGTGGGAGGGACTTAACCTTTCCCATTTTCTCTCTACAGAATTGGTCTATTTCACATCATTGTCTTTTTTTCTTTGATGCCTCCCCCCCCCCCAGCTATTCTCAGATGGGGGATAAAAGAATGATCTCCTAACAAGAGGAACCTCCTGATTCCTCAACCTCCCCTTCCCCTCTAGGAAGCAGAAGTATTTTTACCGGGGTCGCCTGGATTGGGATGAGAACACATCAGCTGGGCGCTACGTTCGAGAGAACTGCAAACCACTGCGGGTGAGCGGGGCTGGGAATAAATAGTGCCCACCACCCAGAAGTCACTTCCTCCATGAGGGGGTTTGCCAGGAGCCAGAGGGTTAGGAAAGGAGGGAAAGTAAAAGGGAAAGAAGACATGCTTGGTCATAGAGGAGGATCAAAGGCAGTGGTCATGTGGAGAGAAGGAAGTTAGACAGCCACGTCTTTCTTGAGCCAACCAGAGATCAAAGGAATGTCCTGGATTCTTTAGGTCAGACAGAAAAGAATAAACTACCTTTGAAGAGCTTACATGTTAATGAGGAGCTAAAGAAGATCCATGAAGTTGACAAGTAGAAAGAACTTTGAAAGAGTGTGAAGGAGTAATTGTGCTAGTAGGAAGACAGGATGAGCTGTAATGTCAGAGACATTGAGCCTGGCATGTCATAATAAGGTAGCATTCAAAGTAGTTGTGAGCAGAGCCTTTGTTCTCCAACACTGAAAGCTAGGGCCTTGAAGAAAGCAGGGTTTGTAAGACATCCTGCCTCACGTTTCTCCTGCCCTCCACCACCAGCGGTATCTGACCTCAGAGGCAGAGGAACACCACCAGCTCTTCGATCTGATTGAAAGCATGCTAGAGTATGAACCTGCTAAGCGGCTGACCTTGGGCGAAGCCCTTCAGCATCCTTTCTTCACCCGCCTTCGGGCCGAGCCACCCAACGCCAAGTTGTGGGACTCCAGTCGGGATATCAGTCGGTGACGATCAGGCCCTGGACCCCCCTGCATCTTGTAGAGCAGTGGGTGTCCAGTCCAGGACACTGGTGCTTTTTTATACACGAGAACAGAGCCGGAGCTCACTCCTTCCTCCCTGCTCCCTACACGTCTGTGAATATGTGAAATAGTGTAAATATGACAGAACTTGGACCTATCGAGTCAAACCCTGCCGTGTACATAATGCCGGTCCATCCCACACTCTTCCCACCCACACCTGCCCCTTCACATGGAGTTGGATGGGGGCAGAATCAGGTAACCAGGTGGCATCTACCCTGTGTTTTATAAGGAATTTTGTACAGTCTTTGTGAAATAAAATGACGTGCTTCATCTGACCCCCATCCCTGGAGTTTGAGGTTTGGGGCTATTGGGTGGAGCGGCGAGAAGATGGGCGGCCTTTCTGAGTTTGGGTATAAAGGGGGTCTGTCTCCCCCTCCTAAACTAACCAGAAGCAGGCCACCAATCTGAGCTTTCCAAGCCGCCCCTCAGGAGCACACACTTCGGGTTAGAATAGAGAAGGGTTATGTCGTATCTGTGATCTGGAATAATGAGGGTTGGAATAGAGGTCTTGGTTCTATTGCCATCAGGCTGGGCCTCAGGTTAGCGCCAGAAACCCCGGTGGAACGCTTGCACGACCCTTCAGAAATCTCCCGTCGTACATCACGGGATACTCAGAAGGCCCGGGATTCTGACGCGAGAGGCTCGCTGGGAGATGTAGTTCGTTAGTGGGCGGAGGTCACGTGGGGAAGGGGCGGTACTTGGCTACGGGACAGGATTAGAGGTGTCACGTGAGACACTTCGATCTTTGCCTTTAGCCAGGACGCAAGCGCAGCGTGCTGCTGCTGCTGCGGGGCCCTTGTGGTCCTTCCGGTCGGGACAACCAATCGGTGCACAGAGAAGCGGGGCCGACCGAGGGGAGCGGAGGGAGCTCTGACAGCCACTGCCGCGGCAGGGGCGTGGAGGGCCGGGGGCGGCCGAGGCCGCGCTAGCAATCATGGCTCAGAACAGAGACGGCGGGAACCCGTTCGCCGAGCCCGGCGAGCTTGATAACCCCTTTCAGGTGAATTGCGCTGACCCCCTTGGGGCAGTTGGGTTAACTCTTCCTGGTTCTGGAGGGTCGAGCTAACTTGTATTTTAATTCGTGACATTTGATCCACCGACGGATCGCCACGTGGGGGTGAGGGTGACTTCAGAGCAGTGAACACCTTAGGGGGCGGGCCCTGCCCCTGCAAGGTATACTGGCACTGTGGGATGAAAGCTTTGGGGCAAATGTTTGGACAGCAGCGTGGCCGCTAGAGTGCAGTCCTTGGAGCCACAAACAATCCAGCAGCCATCCCTGGAAATTCCCCCAGGAGGCACCAGGTGCCAACTGAGCCCCAGGTCTCTGTCCTCAGGACCCAGCTGTGATCCAGCACCGACCCAGCCCGCAGTATGCCACCCTTGATGTCTACAATCCCTTTGAGACGCGGGAGGTGAGTTTCTGGAGACACAGAAAGGCAAGGAAGGGGAGGATGTATCCCTAAAGCCTACTGTGGGCATAGCGCTTACTGGATGCAGAGGAAAGAAGAAGCACTGTGATCTTAGCTCGCTGAGAGAGGTCGGTCTGCCGTGGCCTGTCTGGAGACACCAGGGCCAACCATCTATCCGGTTTGAGCTCTACAAGTCAGTCCTCGGAGGACTTGGATTCTAGCAGGGTTTGAACCGAGGCTTCTGCCTGGGAAGGCATTGAAGAGGAAACTGTGGTTAGGGGTGCAGTTAGAAGACAAGAAATGAGGAGAACTAGATCTGTTTGTCCCATTGGAATAGAGAATGATAAAGGTTTTAAGAGACTAAGGGGGAGGTATTGTAGATGAGTGCTTTGAATCCTTGCTAAGGAATTGGATGTGAAGGGGAATACAGGCTAATGCAGGTCATCAGTGAGTTCTCTGACATCAATTCAACAAAAGAACTAACTTTCTAACAACTAGGGGAAGGGCTGCTGGCTTAGATAATGAGTTCTGGGCCTGTAGGCATTCAGGCAGATTGTAGATTCCTGAGTTATGGGGGACTGGATGATTCCTAAGGTCTTTTCCAAACCCAACAGCCATCACCAGCCTATGAGCCTCCTGCCCCTGCTCCATTGCCTCCACCCTCAGCTCCCTCCTCACAGCCCTCGAGAAAGCTCAGCCCCACCGAACCCAAGAACTATGGCTCCTACAGCACTCAGGTAGTGGGGTGCATGGGTGCGGCGGGGGAGAGGGGCCCATCCTGGGACCCAGGACTCACGGCTCCCTCTGCTTATCCTGGGCAGGCCACGGCTGCGGCAGCCACAGCTGAGCTGCTGAAGAAGCAGGAGGAGCTCAACCGGAAGGCAGAGGAGCTGGACCGGAGGGAGCGTGAGCTGCAGCATGCCACCCTGGGTGGCACAGCTAGTAAGGAGATCCTTGAGGGGGACCCACTGAGGGAGGAGGAGGGGGTCTAACAGTTTGGAAGGAGAGAAGCAAGGACTTAGGAGCATGGACTCTGGAGCCAGACTGTTGAGTTTGAATTTTGGCTCTCTCACTTACTAACTGGCATGGTAGGCAAACTTACTCAATCTCTCGTGCCTTTGTTTCCTTATTTGTAAAATGAGAATAACGTTTGTGTGACAAGATTGTCGTGAGGGTTAAACAAGGCCGTATATGCAAAGTGTTTAGCCCAGTGCTTAAAAAAAAATCAAACCCGTTGCCCTTCAAGTCAATTCCAACTCATAGCGACTCTATAGGATAGAGTAGAACTGCCCCATAGGGTTTGCAAGGCTGTAATCTTTATGGAAGCAGACTGCCACATCTTTCTCCTGCAGAGTGGCTGGTGGGTTCGAACCACCAACATCTGGGTTAACAGCTGAGCGCTTAGCCACTGCACTACCAGGGCTCCTTAGTCCGGTGCTTAGAAGTTGTAAATAATAACGTTTGCTATGGCTATTTTTTTGGCCATCCTTCTCTCCTTGTCTCCTTGGACCCTGAATTAGAAATAGAAGAGAGGACGTGGGGTGGAGGACAGAGTGAGCAGGCCCCTTGTTGGTCTCTGCCTGACTTCTGGGGTCCTCCTTCTTTCTTTGTGCCTTGCAGCTCGACAGAACAACTGGCCCCCCCTACCAGCTTTTTGCCCCGTCCAGCCCTGCTTTTTCCAGGACATCTCCATGGAGATCCCCCAAGAATTTCAGAAGACAGTGTCCACCATGTACTACCTCTGGATGTGTGAGTACTGGGAAGCCTTTTTGGTGGAGTACTGGGAAGCCTTTTTGGTGGAGTACGGGTAGAAGTTGGCAGTTCTCTTTCTTGTTCTGTAGCCTACTCGCCAAGAATTAGATACTTCATCACTCCTCAACAGCCAAGTTTAAGGCCAACTTTTCCAGGAATTTTTCTGCATTAATGCTTTTACAGTATCTGTAACTTACTCTCCAGTCTGTTACCAAATATATGTTTCTGTTCGCCTCCTCTTCCCTTGTCCCAACGCATAAACATACTCTGAGTCGCTTAAATGTCTTTCTAAGAGGGATCGCGTGTGACTGAGATTTGCTTGTTCTGGCTTCACTGTGGGCTTGAAGATGCCGTGAAGGCAGAGCTGCCTTCCCTTCCCTATTCTGCCACATCTGGTGAGGGTTGTGGGTGGGGGTACATGGGAAGAGCCCTCGCTGCCGTCCAGAAGGCGCCGTCATCCCGTCCTTCCATCCCTTAGGCAGCACGCTGGCTCTTCTCGTGAACTTTCTTGCCTGCCTAGCCAGCTTCTGTGTGGATACCGGTAATGGCTCGGGCTTTGGGCTGTCCATCCTCTGGATCCTCCTTTTCACTCCCTGCTCGTTCGTCTGCTGGTATCGTCCCATGTACAAGGCTTTCCGGTAAATGGGGGGTGAGTGGGGGGGGCAGGGCAGGGGACCGGGGACCTGGGATGGGCCTTGTATCTGCTCCTCCATTCCTAATTCTTCTCCCACCCACCACATTTTTTTGTCCTCGCAGGAGCGACAGTTCATTCAATTTCTTCATTTTCTTCTTCATCTTCTTCGCTCAGGATGTACTGTTTGTGCTCCAGGCCATTGGCATCCCAGGTTGGGGGTTCAGGTCTGTGATGCTGCCATCCACCCTCACCCCTCCCTTCCACTGCTCTGTGCCAAGCCTGTGCTGGGTACTGGGTAGGGGTTGTTCAGAAATAGAAATTGGGAGGTGCTAGTTTAATGGGAGAGGGAGACAGGATGTACTTCTAGGAGAGAAGCCAGATAGAACTCGAGACAGGTGTGGATTGAGGGGAAGAGGGCCACATGTGGTAAAGCCCGTCCATCCCTCTCAAAGGCTTTCTAGAGGAGGGATATGTAACCACCGCTGGAGACGGGAGGGGAGTCCTCAGCAGAGAAAGGTGTATCTGAAGTGAGGGGACCTGGCAGAGCTTGGAGAGCTAGGAGCTAATGGTGTGGAAGCTGGGATCAAACTGTGAGGAGAAAGGATGTCGTTGGGAGATTGTGGCGTGTGGAGTGCTGCCAGACTGACAGGAAAGCTCGTTCCAGCTGCAGCCGCTGATGGTTGTGGGTGGGAGTCAGGCATGTTTGCCACAGGGACTGGTGGAGAGGCTGGAGGACAGAGACCCACATACCTTTCCCCCTGACAGTGGCTGGATCGCGGCTCTGGTGGTGGTGAAAACCAACCCGGGTGTAGCTGTGCTCATGCTGATGGTTGCCCTGCTCTTCACTGGCATCGCTGTGCTGGGAATTGTGATGCTAAAGCGGGTGAGGGGCTGGGTTGAAAGGCGGCCAGAAGGGTGAGATCATCGGGTCCCTAGAGGCCTGGGCAAAACTGGGGAGGGCCAGGCTGATGGGTGAATTCTCAGCTAATGGACGTCCAGGGTGGGAGGGTGTGTGTCTGTGTGTGTGTAATATGTGTGTGTGGTGTGTGTCCCTGTGTGTGTGGTGTCTGTGTCTTTGTGCCTGTGTATCTGTGTGTGTCTCGTGTGTGTGTGTAGTACGTCTGTGTGTGTGTGCCTGTGTGTGTGTGGTGTGTGTGTGTGTCTGGGGGGGTTGTGTGTGGCGTGTGTGTAGTGTGTGTGTGGTGTGTATGTCTGTGTGTGTCTGGGGGTGTGTGTGTGGCGTGTGTGTAGTCTGTGTGTGTGGTGTGTATGGCTGTGTGTGTCTGGGAGTGTGTGTGTGGTGTGTATGGCTGTGTATGTGTGTCTGGGGGGTGTGTGGTGTGTATATCTGTGTGTGTGTGTGTGTGTGTGTGTGTAAGGAACACCAAGAAGGAAAAGCTAGAGCAGGCTGGTGAGTGGTGGTGACGGTCTTACGCTGAGCTCGGGCACCTGCTCTAACGTCTCTGCCCTCTGCTTGCAGATCCACTCCCTGTACCGCCACACAGGGGCCAGCTTTCAGAAGGCCCAGCAAGAATTTGCTGCTGGTGTCTTCTCCAACCCTGCAGTGCGAACCGCAGCTGCCAACGCAGCCGCTGGGGCTGCCGAAAATGCCTTTCGGGCCCCATGACCCCTGACTGGGATCCCTGGCCCTGTCACTTGAGGGAGCTGACATAGCCCCCATCCCTGGGGTCACTGGGACTTAGAGAGGCATCACCACTTGATGTCCTGTCTCTAGTGCCCCAGTCCAACGGCCATGACTGCTGAGCCTGACTCGGGTGCGGGGAGCCCACGGTGACCCAGTCACACTGCTCGTCCCCCGCCATCAGGCCACACTGCTGCCACATCTCACACCACCCCAACCCCAGCTTCCCTCTGCTGTGCCAAGGCCGTTGCTTCGGTTATTTAAATAAAAAGAAAGTGAAACTGGAACTTAAGTCCCTGTTTTATGCTTTTATTGGGAATTAGGCTTTGTGAGAGAAAGCGTGGCGGGGGCTGGAGTGGAAGCAGAAGATGAACTCCTGCAGGGAGTCGGACCAGACTTCAGTGTAAACTCCCCCGTGGCGGGGCTGGGCGGCAGAGCCAGGCCGGCTGGCGCAGGAAGAGGGAGGGATGCCAAAGAATGGGCGTGGAAACGCTGAGCCACCAGGGAGCCCTGCTCCCCACCCTTCAGCATTAACGACCCCGGGGAGGAGCCGCTGCCTGTGCCGGGAATGCCGCAGGCCCCGGGGGCCTGCGAGGCTGGGTGGGGCTCAAGTGGGTGCAGAGATGACTGGCATCTCCGTCCTCGGTCGGCGGAAAGGCAGGGGTTGAAGGACCCCTTCCCAGACTGGCGGATAGGGCCGGCTCGCCCCACCCCTGTCTCCTGCCCCGCCCACGGGGTGTCCTCCAGCCCGGACTACAACTCCCAGGGTGCACCGCGCGGGCCCTGGAAGCCACGCCCCTCCTCCCTCTCCATCCCCATCCCCCGCCTCTAGTCCTGGACCTGCTGCAGCCTCAGCTGGGAGAGCTGAGCTGGGTGGGGAGGGGAGCGGGGCAGGCGACCCTGGAGACGGAGGCGCCGCGGCCTCTCCCCACCAGGCGGCCCCCGGACCCCACTAGACACCCCAAGGCATACCGGCCGCACCTCTAGAGTCACCCCGCGCTGATTCCTCCCCTCATCTCTAGACTCCTTCCCCATCTTTTTCGTCTTTACCCTCCCTACCCTTCCCCGGCTCCGGACCGACGCCCTCCCCTCACTCCCGGACCGGCCCTTCTCGGCGCCCCTCCTCCCTAGGGAGATGCAATGAGCCGGTGCCCCCGCGTCCTCACCGCCGCCCCGGGCACGGTGCCCGCCCGGTGCCCGTGGTGGGGAGGGAGCACCCCGCGGCCCCTCCGTGACGCCCTTCCCTTGGGGCCCCCCTCGGCTGGCGTCCCAGGGCCATGTCCCGGGGGACCCAGCCAGAGGGTGGGCTCTAGGGCGAGGGGGTTGGAGAGGAGGAAGGACGGGGCGTTGGGCGCCTCTGAGATGCTCCCAAGCGCCTGGGCGGGCCGAGCGAGGCGCAGGCAACCGGGCGGCAGGCATGATGCCCTCGCCTAGTGACTCAAGCCGCTCGCTGACCAGCCGACCCAGCACCCGGGGCCTTACCCACCTCCGCCTCCACCGGCCCTGGCTGCAGGCCCTGCTCACGCTGGGGCTGGCCCAGGTGCTGCTGGGCATCCTGGTGGTCACCTTCAGCATGGTGGCCTCCTCCGTCACCACCACCGAGAGCATCAAGAGGTCCTGCCCGTCTTGGGCTGGGTTCTCGGTGAGTTGGGTGCACAGTTGTTGGGTGGGGGGTGCTCCTCAGGCCCCATCCCTCCATACCAGCTGCAAGTCCACATCCTGGCCTCTCCTCCCTCTGCTAGTCCCCACCCTCCTTACAGGGCTAGAGATACCCTGTGGTGAGGGGCTCACTCCGGTGCCTCCCCTGTCAGACTGAGTCTGTGCCCACTCTGTCCCCAGCTGGCGTTCTCCGGGGTGGTTGGCATTGTGTCTTGGAAGCGGCCATTTACTCTAGTGGTAGGTGCCAGGGTCCCGTTAATGCTCTTAAGGAGGGAATTGGCTCTCCAGTTCGTGCCAGCCAGGCACAAGGTGCCCGTGAACGAGGGAGGCTTCATTTGTGGTAGAGGGGCTATTGGGAAGCAAAACCTGGCACCTGTGTGGGTCCCAGCCCTGAGAATGAACCCTGTCTCCCCAGATCTCCTTTTTCTCCCTGCTGTCGGTGCTCTGTGTCATGCTCTGCATGGCTGGCTCTGTTCTGTCCTGTAAGAACGCTCAGCTGGCCCGAGACTTCCGAGACTGTTCCATGGTGAGCTGTGAGGAGGGAGAGCTGGAAAGAACTGGTTGGGAGAGGTGTGCTGGACACCTTGGTTTGTCCTGATACAGGCTGCCTCATACTCCCCACTCCCACTCAGGAAGGAAAGGTCTGTGTGTGCTGCCCATCCGTTCCCCTCCTCCGGCCCTGTCCAGAGTCAGGACAGGAGCTGAAACTTGCCCCTAACTCCACCTGTGATGAAGCCCGAGGGGCTCTCAAGGTAAGCACGCACCCTCACCTCCACCGTTCCTTCCTCCCCCATCATCCTCCTGGTTTCCACCCTTGCCTCCCCAGTCACAGCTCTTAACTCTGTACCCCCCTCCGTGGATACCCACAGGCCCAGGACATTTGGGATTTACCCCTCCCCAGGCCCTTCTCACCCTCCCTCTTTCTGTTCCCTTCTCCAGAACCTGCTCTTCAGTGTCTGTGGGCTCACCATCTGTGCGGCCATCATCTGTACCCTCTCTGCTATTGTCTGTTGTATCCAGATCTTCTCCCTGGACCTTGTGCACACGGTGAGGGGGAAGCCAAGGTCAGGATCTGGGAGGCATGGTGGGGGAGGGGCGCCGGGCCCAGGCCTGAGGCTGCAGCACAGTCCTCTGAGCACTGGGGCGGGGGCTATGGGTCACCAGGAGGCATGGCTGTTGGAGGGATGTCTAGGGGGTCCAAGGGATGGTGAGGAGGGGGATGACACGGGGTGAGTGAAGTATGTGATGCCAGTCTGGGGCCAAGAGAGGGGTGCTTTAGAGAATAGGACTAGAAGGAGGGACTTCTGGATGGGGCGGGGTCGACAAGGTCCTAGGTGGGGGGAGGGGGAAGGATGGATGTTCTGGTGGGGGCAGTGTCCGAACTGGTGGGGATTCTGGATGAGGCGGGGCCACATGGAGGAGGAGTTTCTGAGTGGATGGGACCAGAGCTGGAGGTCCAGGGTAGCGCTGGGAGGGAGGGGCCAGAGCGGGAGGAGCTTCTTGGGGAGTGGGGGCGGGGCCAGAAAAATAGTCGGGGTGAGAGAGAAAGGTGGGGGACCAAGGAGGAGCTGTATTCTCGGAAATCAAGTTTGTTGTTCTGCTTGTCACACAGCAGCTGGCTCCTGAGCGCTCAGTCTCGGGGCCCCTGGGGCCTCTGGGCTGTGCATCCTCGCCCCCAGCCCCCCTTCTACACACCATGCTGGACTTGGAGGAATTTGTACCGCCGGTGCCCCCGCCTCCCTACTATCCCCCAGAGTACACCTGCAGCTCAGAGACGGATGCACAGAGGTGAGGCCTGGCAGGCCCTGCTGGGAGAGCAGGGAGGGCGGGAGCTGGAGTTTGGACAGGTGGGGAGGGATCTTGGAGTAGCAGGCTCTGACACTCTCCCTCATCCTGCCAGCATTACCTACAATGGCTCCATGGACAGCCCGGTGCCCTTGTATCCTACTGATTGTCCCCCTTCCTATGAAGCTGTCATGGGGCTACGAGGAGACAGCCAGGTGAGAGCAGGGCTGGGAAGCCAGGGTGGGGCCTGCAAGGCCGAGTGGACGTAGATAATAATAGCTATCATGATCTTTAGAGCGCTAGCAGGTCGTCGGCATCTTTGATCTTCCTTAGAGCCTGGTGAGGAGAGCAGAGTCTTAGAAACTATGATTTCTGTTTTGCAAATGTGGAAACTGAGGCCCAAATAAGTAAAGTGACTTGCACAAAGTGACAAAGTTGGACTGGAATCTAGGTTCCCAGAGCTGTCTGTCCGGTGCATGGGGGTGGCCGTGTCACCGTGTAGGGCTGGACCCTGACCCTGTGTCTTTTGCAGGCTACTCTCTTTGATCCTCAGCTTCACGATGGCTCTTGCGTCTGTGAACGAGTGTCCTCCATTGTAGATGGTAAGCAGAGAGTGGGAGGGCCGGATGAGGGCAGGGCTGCCAGGGAGGGGAGGACTGGGTGGGGGTGAAGGGAGGGGAAGACAGGCTGAGTTGGTGGTTTGGGGACAGGGAGCGCCAGGCTGTGGCTGTCTCCCCTGAGATAAAGCTGGAGACAGAGAGGCCCTGGAGGGGCTGCGCCTGGGAGAAGAGGAACTGCCTGGGCCTGGCCAGCTAGTGCCACCCAGCACCTCCTGCTACCCACAGTGTCCATGGACAGCGGGTCTCTGGTGCTGTCAGCCATCGGCGACCTCCCTGGGGGCTCCAGCCCTTCAGAGGACTCGTGCCTGCTGGAGCTGCAGGGCTCGGCGCGCTCCGTCGACTACGTGCTCTTCCGCTCCATTCAGCGCAGCCGCGCCGGCTACTGCCTCAGCCTGGAGTGCGGCCTGCGCGGCCCCTTCGAGGACAGCCCCCCGCCACGGCGGCCCCCTCGGGCCGCCCGCTCTTATTCCTGCTCTGCTCCTGAGGCTCCCCCGCCCCCACCGGGGGCCCCCACGGCTGCTCGCAGCTGCCACCGGCTGGAGGGCTGGCCGCCCTGGGTGGGACCCTGCTTCCCGGAGCTGAGGCGGCGGGTCCCCCGGGGAGGCAGCCGGCCAGCAGCAGCCGCTCCCACCCGAGCCCCCACTCGGCGCTTCAGCGAAAGCTCAGGATCCCTCACCCCACCGGGGCACCGGCCTCCGCATCAGGCTCCCCCGCCACCCCTGCGGCTGCCTCGGTCTCACAGCGATCCGGGCATCACCACCTCCAGCGACACCGGTGAGCCCCCCAGACCCGGCCCCGGGGTGCAGGAGAGGGCAGGAGTCAGAGGGTTGGTGGTGCCCACTGGGGTTTGGGGCCTTGTGGGTTGCCTGAGGGGGAAGAAGAGGTGTGAATTCACTCCTGTGGTGGACACTTCTGGAGTACTCACCTCCCAGGGATCTAGCATCGGTAGCTTCATGGGTATAAGAGGAAGCCTTGTTTTTTGAAACTTAGTTCCACAGCTCCCAGCTTGGGTGAGTTAGCTAATCTCTCCCAGCCTCAGTTTCTCACCTGTAAGACAAGTCTACCGTCACTGCCTGCAGCCTAAGTCCTACCGAGTAACAGAACTGAGCTAAGGCGAGCCACAGTGCTTTGCACTGGTACGGAACGTGCTCATTGTTACTGTTGCCGGCCAGGTCCTGGGGAACACCCATCCGTGAACTGTCCCGACTTACTACCTGTCTTTGTGCCAGCGGACGTGGGCAGAGATGCTGCCCCTTGGTTGGGGATGGAGCTGTAGAAGTTGCTAACACTCCCCTTGGCTGGAATTCTCCCAGACGGTAGGGGGCGGCCACATCCACAGAGGCGCCCCCTCAGTCCCTGTCTCTCCCTCTCCCCAGCTGACTTCAGGGAACTTTATACCAAAGTGCTTCAAGAAGAAGCTGTTTCCGTTTCCTTTGTGGATACAGGTCAGGCAATGGGGCTGGTACCCCGGGGGCTGAGAGGCGTGGGGTGCTGCCTGGGCCTCTCTACGCCCGTGTTCCGCCCACTCACAAGCTTTCTCTCTGCAGGGCTCTGCTCCGAAGCCTGCCTCTTCCGCCTGGCCCGCTGCCCTTCCCCTAAGCTGCTACGTGCCCGCTCAGCCGAGAAACGGCGCCCTGTGCCCACCTTCCAGAAGGTCCCCCTGCCATCAGGCCCTGCACCTGCCCACTCCCTGGGGGACCTAAAGGGCAGCTGGCCAGGGCGGGTCCTCGTCACTCATTTCCTCCAGATGTCCAGGAAGGCCCCAGACCCCAGTGGGAATGGAACCCCTGGGCATAAGCAGGTAGGAGTTAGGGGAGCCAAGATGCTAGGGAAATCTTAGAGCTTCTGATCGAGCCATATGGATCCCCTCCCTATGGCCCCCTCCAGGTCCCCCAGAAGCCATGGGGCTGGCCAGGCCGAGAGAGCCTCCACCTTCGCAGCTGCGGTGATCTGAGCTCCGGCCCCTCCCTCCGGCGCCTCCTGTCCGCCCGCCGGCTGGAGCGCAGTACCCGACCCCACAGCCTGAGCCTCAATGGCGGCACCCGGGAGACTGGGCTCTGACCGGAGCATCTTGCAACATTGAAGAGATCCAGATGATTTCTGGGGCTACAGGCAGCAGCTGGTTGGGACCAGCAGCCCGCAGCGCCCCCTTGCACTGGCTGGCACAAAAGTAACCTGAACACCCCCAAAGTGTCCCTTTCCCTCCTACCTCTGGGGGCCTGCTGCTGCTTGCCTGTGCTCTCTGCAGCCTGAGAGAGCTTCTGTCCTGTGCTGCATGGGTATTCAGGATGGGGTGAGGGGCGGTGCACCTGCTTACAGCCAGCACTGGAGAAGGAAGACTAATAAACTCCTGTGCCCCCAGGATGCCAGTGGCTTTCGGATTCGCCAGGGGTACTGTGGCCAGGGCAAAGGCGTGTCCTGGGTGTCTGGGCATCGGGGGCCGTGTGCCTTTGCAGTGGGGTGGTGAGGCAGGAATGTGGGTGGCCTCCCAGCTCCGCCATCTCTAGCTGCATGACCTTGGGCAAGTTATTTAACCTCAATTGCCTGATCGGTAAAATGTTGTGAGGATGAATGTTTGTAAAACTCTTAACACACTAAGTAAGCCTTCAATAAATTACATTTTCCGCCTCTCTCCTGGATCGTTCTTTATCATCAGTGACATTTGCCCTGGTATCTCTCATATTTAAGAAAATTCTCTCAAGACGCCTATGTTTATTTTCTGCTACCAACCTGTATCTCTGCTCCTTTTCACAGCAAAATGTCTTCTCTCATCTTTCTGTCTACTTTCTGACATCCGTTCTCTCATCGCCCACTCCCACCAGGCTCCTTCCCCTACCTCTCCCCAGCTACCGCTCTTGGCAAGGTTTTCAGTGACTGTCTTAGTCATCTAGTGCTGCTCTAACAGAAACACCACAAGTGGATGGCTTTAACAAAGAGAAATTCATTTCCTCACAGTAAAGTAGGGTGTCAGCTCCAGGGGAAGGCTTTCTCTCTCTCTCTGCCTTCTCATCAATCATCCCCCGGACTAGGAGCTTCCGTGCGCAGGGACCCTTGGGTCCAAAGGACGCACTCTGCTCCCAGCACTGCTTTCTGGATGGTATAAGTTCCCCAAGTCTCTGCTTGCTTCCCTTTCCTTTTATCTCTTGTAAGATAAAAGGTGGTGCGGGCCACACCCCAGGGAAACTCCCTTTACATTGGATCAGGGATGTGACCTTAGTAAGGGTGTTACAATCCCACCCTAATCCTCTTTAACATAAAATTACAATCACAAAATGGAAGACAACCACACAATACTGGGAATCATGGCCCAGCCAAATGGATACATACATTTTTGGGGGGACATAATTCAATCCGTGACAGTGACCAAAATGGTATCAGACCCAGTGTGCATCTCACTTGGTCTCTAAGCAGCATGTAACCCAGTTGATAAGCATCTCTCTTGAAAATTTCCCTTCTCTTGTCTTTGAAGACATCACTCTCTCCTAGTTCCCCACCTCCTTCACTCTCTTGGTCTCCTTTGGCAGCTCTGATGTTGGACCCCTTAACACTGGAGGGCCCCAGGGCTCTCCCCTCAGCCTTCTTCTCTTTTCTACCTCTATCAGTAGCTCACCAAGGTTCATGGCTAGCCTTGACCTCTGTAGGAGCTCCAACTTCCAACTCAGTATCTCTGCTTGGATGTCTAACGGACATCTGAGACTCAACATGGCCACAACTGAACTCCTTAGTCCCCTACACCTCTTCCTCTTCCAGTATTCTTATCTCAATAAGTGACGCTACCATATGCCCAGTTGTGCAATCCAGAATCTTAGGAATCACTCTGATTTCTTTTTCTCTCTCATCCAACACATCCAGTCCATTAGCAGTACATTCCTCCATGTCTCACCATCTAGTTCAAGCCACCACCCTCTCTTCCCAGCCTCTGAATTGATCTGTTATTTCTGCTCTTCCCAACAACCCATTCTCCACTCAGCAGAGAAATGGCATAAATCATGTCACATCATAGCTCTGCTTAAATCTAATAGCTTCTCGTTGCACTTAGAATAATCTCCAAACTCCTCTGTAGGGTCAGGTGCAGGCTGGCCCGCTGTCTCTGCTCCAGCCAAGCCGGCCTGGCGCTTGCTCTTTCCCGAGCATGAGCAGCTCTGCCCACATTCCTGTAGTTGGTGCCTTGGCGTCATTCAGCTCTTAGCTCCACACTCACCTCTCCACCAAGCTCCCGCAGTCGTTCTATCCCACTGCCATCTTTTGTTTGGAGCACTTATCACTATGTAAAACTGTCTTGCTTGTTTCTGCTTGTCTGTGTCATCCCACTGTACACAGGCTCTGGAGAGCAGGGACTTGTTCACTGCATTGGGTCTGTTGGTGGTGTTAGTGCCATGGAGTCATTCCTACTCATGGTGACCCCATGTGACAGAGTAGAACTGCTCCATAGGGTTTTCTAGGCTGTCATCTTTATGAGAGCAGATCGCCAGGTCTTTCTCCCAAGGAGCCACCGACCTCTATGGTTAGCAGCGGAGTAGTTAACCATTGCGCCACCAGAGCTCCCTGCGTTGCGTCTAGCACGCAGTTAAGTAGGTCCTCAATGAACACTCATGAAGTTCCTAAAATGGCAGAGAGGGGCATTGGAAACACTGTAAACAGTTTCGTGGTGCCTGGAGGGAGGAAAGGGACGAGGAAGGGGCACCTTCTTGAATAACTCACATCGTAACAATCCAGCTGCCGGCTCAGGGAAGGCTGGGGCGCGGTCAGGACAGGAAAATAAGGTAGGAGGGGCTGGAGATTGGGGCTCCCCCCGGGGCAATTTCTGGGCGCTGAATGTTCTCTATCCTGAGCCTCCCTAAAGAGGAAGCTTAAAAACCCTGCTCAGCTCCAGTCCGCGGGACTCACTCAGGGAGCTCAACCTCCCCGCACCCATTAACGGTTGTGGTGGCGGAGAGACACCGAGGCGCATGCGTGCTTCTCGCCTGGCGTGCCAGCCCCCTCTGAGGAGGCCCCCCAATACGCGAGCGCTCTATCTGGGCTCGGCTGGTCAGCTGGCCCGTCTGTCCCCAGTAAGACCAATGAGACGTGCGGAAGGGCCCTACGTTCCGCCTCCGGGCGAGTAGGCGCCGGCCGGGGGCTGCGTATCTCCGGGCCGGGCGTGGGGGGACCGCTGCCCGGCTCCCGGCCCCGCCCGCCCGCGTTTGCAGGCTGCCCTGGGATTTCCCTTCGCCTCCGCTTGGAGCTGCTCTTGGGCGGAACGGGTGTTGCACTTGGGTCTGCAGTCACCTTTTCATCATCCTTGTTATTATTAATCATAGGGGCGGTCGCGTTTTACTAATGAAGAAGAGAGTATGAAATCTTCAAGTGTTTCTATCCACTTGCTTTTTTAGTGGGTGGAGTGGGAAGAAACTTGCATAATGCATGCATTTATTAGTCCTTCGACGAACGTTCCCTGAGTGCGGTACTAGTGCCAGCGCTGTGCAACGCCCTGAGGATACAGTGGGGTGTAGGACAGACGGGTCCCTAGTCGACTGGGCTTCCTCACCGACCGATCGGCAGGGCGCTATAACTGACATTAATCCATTGGGACACTTAATTCCCCACCCCCGTTACCGTCGAATGGATAGCGCAGGGTAGAACTAACTGCCCCATAGGGTTTCCAAGGCTGACATCTTTACAGAAGCAGACGGCCACATCTTTCTCCCGCAGAGCGGCTGGTGAGTTCGAAGCGCGCCCTTTTCAGTTCGCAGATGAGCGCTTAAAGACTGCGCCACCAGGGCTCAGACAATTCATTACAACCGTGGTGAGCAACAAAGCAGATGTGAGGGCTGGGAGCGTGTGTTTGTAGGGGAAGAATTTCTCGGAGAAAATGACATCTGAGTTGGTCTCTGGAAGATGAATAGGGCGTTAACCAGGCTTAGGTGAGGGGAGCAGTGGTGCTAGCTAAAGGAAGAGCCTTTGCGAGGACTCTGAGGCAGAAGGCACGGGAGCATGAACAGCAAGGGGCAAACCCATAGCAGGCTGTGATTGAAGGCTGGCCCCCCGGCCTTGTCCGCTGTAGTCCGATCTCTACCAGCAGTAATGTGATCTTTTAAAAATAGAAATCTGATCTTGCCACTTCACTGCGGGAACTCTCGGGTGGATTTCCACCTTAGAACAAAATTCAGACTCCTTACCGCAGCCTCCAAAGCCCTGCATAATCTGGCCCCACATCTTCTCCAAACTCGCTTCTTAACCCGTGTCTCCTTCACTTGCTCAGCGTTAGCACTGTCTGTCCTTGTACCTTCGTTTTCTTCCTAGTTTTCACTGCACTTGAAATTATCTGGGTGATTTTTGTTGTGTTTGTCTTCCACCCTCAGGGACTCTATCAGCGTATTCATTGCTGTGTCCTCAGGGTGGAAAACCGTGCCTGGCACCTCGTAGAGGCCCAGTGAAAATTTGTTGAATACGTGAACTAATAAGCATATACCAAGAGTGCCTGACACAGTCAGGGATGTCAGGAAAACCATACTGCTTGTCATGGTTTGAATTATGTACCCCCCCCAAAAAATATAAAAATGGCGCGGCCACAAGACCCACAAAACTGTGGGGGCCCCCCCCATTGCAAAAGTAAAATTATATGTAAAAAAAGAAGAAGGGGAGAGTAAAACCACACCGAACCACGTCACATCCCTGATCCAATGTAAAGGGAGTTTCCCTAGGGTGTGGCCTGCACCACCTTTTATCTCCCAAGAGATAAAAGGAAAGGGAAGCAAGCAGAGAGTGGGGGACCTCATACCACTAAGAAAGAAGCACTGGGAGCAGAGCACGTCCTTTGGACCCGAGGTTCCTGCACAGAGAAGCTCCTAGTCCGGAGCAAGACTGATGATGACGAGGACCTTCCTCCAGAGCCGACAGAGAGAGAAAGCCTTCCCCTGGAGCTGATGCCCTGAATTTGGATTTCTAGCCTACTAGACTGTGAGAAAATAAATTTCTCTTTGTCAAAGCCATCCACTTGTGGTATTTGTGTTAGAGCAGCACTAGGCTGAGGCCTTAATGATGAAGAGTAGTTATTCAGTTTTTCAGAGTGGCGGAGGGAGAAGAAAATGTTCAGGGCAGTGGGAACAGCAGAAGCAAGATGAGATGCGGCTCCTTAGAGAAAGTACGAGTGGGAGCCTAAGGTGCAGGCACAGAAGTTAGGGAGGAGGGTGGAACAAAGACGCCAGGACCCCGAAGCCCCGTTAAAGATAGTATCGGGGCCAGGGAAGGGTTTCAGGAAGCAGAGTGATAGCTTCAGAATTTGTATTTTAGGTCGATCATTCAGTTCTTCTCAGCGAATGGATTTGGAGGAGAAAAGTGGAGGTTCGGGGACTGAGAGAACTGTCATAGTTATCTAGTGCTGCTATGACAGAAATGCCACAAGTAGATGACTTTAACAAACAGAAATTTATTTTCTCACAGTTTAGGAGGCGAGAAGTCCGAATTCAGGGTGTCAGCTCTAGGGGAAGGCTTTCTTTCTCTCTTGGCTCTGGAGGAAGGTCCTTGTCTCTTTGAGCTTCTGCTCCTGGGCGTTCTTCATGTGGCTTGGCATCTCTCTTCCCCTATCTCTGTTTCTCTGGCTTCCTTGTTTAATCTCTCTTATATCTCAAAAGAGATTGACTCAAGACACACCTTACACCA